GGTGCAGCTGACAGAGTCATCAACCAGATACTCACAGAGATGGATGGCATGTCGGACAAAAAGAACGTCTTCATCATCGGTGCCACAAACAGGTGCACACATTTTTGCGTGTCTGTATCGTACAGATGTTAATAAATGAAACTCTTTACGGACTTTTCTTCTCACTTTCATCCTTCCTCTCATCATCCCAGGCCAGACATCATAGACCCAGCCATTCTGCGGCCAGGTCGTCTGGATCAGCTCATCTACATCCCGTTGCCTGATAAGCCATCTCGCACAGCAATTCTTAAAGCCAATCTACGCAAATCTCCTGTTGCAAGAGTTGGTGATACACACATACAAAAACCAATTGCTCTATACAGTTAGATTCATAAGTTTTGTAAAATTACACATTTTTTTTCATTTTACCCATGTGCACCACCACAGTGGATATTAAACTCAATCGAGGTGTGATTGAAGCGCAGACTTTCAGCTTTAATTTAGGGTGTTTAACCAACAGATTGCATTAACAGTTTCAAAACTGCAGTGGTTTTTATGCATAGACCCCCATTTTCAGAGGCTCAAAAGTAATCAGACAAACTAAAATAATTTTAAATATAGGAACTGCTATTAATACTTGGATGAAAATGCGTTGCTTTCAATGACTGCCTTAAGTCTAAAGTCCATGGACCTCGCCTAATGATGTGTTTCTTCCCCTGATACGCTTTGCCAGGCCTTTACTGCAGGCTAAAAAGTAATTGGACAATTAATTCAGAAGCAGTTATGTGGCCAGATGAGTCCTGCTCCCTGAGTATTCCATGACAAATTAACCAGATAAAAGACCTGTAGGTGATTCCAAGTGGTGACGCTGCAATTTGTTCACTAGAGCCATCAATATGAGATACAAAATGAGACATTGAGGCAAGTGAGGGCAGCTCTAATCAGACTGAAAAACAAAATAAACCAAAGATTAGGAGCAGCTAAACCAACCATCTGAAGCATTTTTCAAAAAATGGAATGTGCTGGTCAACAACAAATTCCCTGAAAAACCAGAGAAGACAAATAAAGTGGATGATCAGAATGATTTCCTTGTTTGAGAGGAAAAACATCTTGATGCATTCTCAATCATCCAGGAAAGTAAATTTTTGTGTGAGTCTCCCACAAAACGCTACGTCCAGACGAACAGAATCAACATTTGGAGAGAGGAAAAACAATTTCACAACATCTAGCCAAATCAAGAATACTTTAGAAGAGGTAAGCATATTATTGCAAGTCTACAATCAAGAGATGCCTTCATGAATGGAAATCAAGTGAGTTTACAACCAGGTACAAACCACGTATTACAATCCAGAATAAGGTCGGATTCGATTTTGCCACAAGACATATAAAATCCACTTCTGGAAAAAAATATCTTGTGAGAGGTAAAGCCAAGCTTGAGTTGTACCAAAATGATGTGTAGAGAAGGAAAGAAACAGCTCCTAATCCAAAGCGTAACACGTCATCTGTAAAACATGGTGGAGACACCATCATGGCATCGGCATGTACGACTGCCAGCACAACTGCGACTGTAGTGTTTATAGATGATGTGACTGCTGATCAAACCAGGATGAAATCTCAAGTGTCTCCTCAGATTCAACTAAATGCTGTGAACCTGAAAACACGCTTTTCAGTTACTGAAGACAAAACTAAAGGCACAAAAATAGCAACTGAATGTGGCTTCTGTAAAGGCCTGTCACAGCCTCTCTAGAGAGGAAACACAGCATTTGATTCCCATTGGTGCAAGAGTTTGGAATTTTTCCTCATTATTCTGAAAAATCCCTGTATTTACAATTATGTTAGTTTGTCAAATGAATTTGAGCCTCTGAAAATGAGCAGACTGTGGATAAAAATGTCTGAAATTCCTAAACAGCTTCAACTTTTGTTGAATCCCTTGACTTCAATCACATCTTCACTGTTTGATTTAAAACCCACTGTGGGAGTGTACAGAAACAGAAGTTTTTTTTTACAGTGTCTTAGTTTCTGTCGTTTACTCTTCCTCTTGTCTTCAGGATGTGGATCTTGAATACCTTTCTGGCATCACAGATGGATTTTCTGGAGCTGATCTGACAGAGATCTGTCAGCGGGCCTGTAAGCTGGCCATCCGTGAGGCAATAGAGGCCGAGATCAAGGCTGAGCGTCAGAGGCAGAACAGACCAGGCGTCCCTATGGTCAGCTGCTCAAGCTTGTTTACACCAAAATATAATGTATTATAGAAGAAAATGCTAATTGGGCTTCTCTGGCTTTCTTTTATTATCTCTACAAATCACATCTCAAAGTTGTACCAGGCTGTGTGTGCATGGTACAGACAGAGACTGTGGGAGATAAAACGTTCCCTAAAGGGCGGCTGTGTGTTTTGTAACTTTCAGCCTTTGGACTGGGAACACACACACACACACACGCACACACACGCACACAGTGTATTATTTTTGCATGAAATCCTTATCTGTTTTCTTTTTTTCTGACTGCAGGATGAGGACTTTGATCCAGTCCCAGAGATCAGGAAGGACCACTTTGAAGAGGCGATGCGATTTGCCCGTCGCTCTGTTAGTGACAATGACATACGCAAATATGAGATGTTTGCTCAAACTCTGCAACAGAGCCGAGGTTTTGGAAACTTCAGGTGCACATGCTTATCAAACGTGTAGTTGTGGACAAGCCAGTCTTGTTTTAGTTGTACTTGAAACTCTTTTCTCCCCACCCAGGTTTCCTTCTGCTACTGGTTCCCAGTCTGGAAGTCAAGGTTCTGGATCTGGGAGGCCGAGTCTGTACAGAGATGAAGGCAACGATGATCTCTACCAGTGACAAAAACTGCAGTCAGCTACTGTGTACTGCTTCTCTGGAGGAATGAGACAGATGATTAAAGGAAGTAAAAAATTTTAAACAAAAAAAAGAAAAGAAAAGAAAAAAAGAAAGAAAGAAAAACTTTTTCTAAATTTTAATAAAATCATAAAACAAGAGGGTGAATCATAAATCATTTTCTATATGACTTTATCGGTCTCTCACATCACTGGGAATTTTGGCCCACTCCTCTTTACAACATTGTTTCAGCTGTGCACAGAGGGCCTTACTTTTGAATACTTTGATACACAGCAAACTTGATGGGTGACTAAATTAGGTGTCCAGGTCCTGTGTCTATAAAACAAACCCAAATCATGACCCCTCCACCACTGTGTCTGTCAGTTGATATGATGTATTTGTATTTGATTTACTGTGTTTGTGCAGTATGGCTAAATATCTCCTGTAAAATCTGTCTAAGGATATTGTTCTAGAAGTCTTATTGATTGTTTGGATGCAACTCATGAACATTAACATTTAACATACTAGCTGAGGTCACTGTAGAGTCAGAGGTGTAGCTCTTAGGATTTTATAGTTTGTCTGAGCATTGCACGGTCTGACCTTGGGGTGAATTTTTTTGGGTGACTGGTGTCACCTGAATGCTCCAGATCAGCAGAATAATATTTGTTTTACTGTCCCCACGCAGTCAATTTATAAGACAAGTCTAAAATCTTGTTACCCTAACAACATGCTTTGGTTGTCACTGTGATCAGTTTGCACTTTTCTGTTTAACAGTTAAGAAATGAATAAAAACTTCTTCTTCTTGAAAATTTGTATTTTATGAGTAGCGTTAGCAGCAGTGAGTCTCTATATAACAAAGCTTGACTCAGCCAGCAGAAGGTCTTGGATCAAGCTACAAGCTAAATACCGGCTTATTTTAAATTCCTTTCACGCTCACTGGGAACGTGATTTGTACTGTGTACCAAATACTATCATACAAGAGCTTTTTCGCACAAGTGATTTTGCCATGTTACAATTTAAATGACTTGCATTTTTCTTTAAATAATAAAATGAATAAGTTGAAATGTGAGTTTACATAAATTTTACTTGCCCGAAGGAATTTTCTTGTGCTCTTAAGTAAAAACAAAACATGTGTGCAAACACACAAGCACTGTTGCTTCACATCAACACTGGTTCATTTGTACAGTTGTTGTTAATTTATTTATCAAATGATCAGAAAGCCCGGGAAAATGATCTGCAAAAACAAATCTTTACTGCATACAGAGTGACTGTAGTACATAGTCACTTCCAGAGCCCCATTCTTAGCCAGGAAAAGCCCCAATTTAGATACATTTTCAGGGTCTTTGTTTCATACACCATCACTCAAAGCTATTTAGTTAACTAACATGACCATAAAAATAATAATGAATTAATTAGAGTTTAAACATTAATGATATCCATCCATCCATCCATTCGCTTCCGCTT